TTCCAGTCAGTAAAAGAAGAGGGTGTCTTGCAATGGATAACCAGTAATTTGCTTGATGCTAAGTCCTTACTAGGCCCTGCTTGCTACGGAATAAAACAAAGTTCACACAAAATGTAACAAGGGAGAAAGAATGTCGGCCACTCGAGCAACCCTCACACTCCCATCACCCAGAACAGGCCTTTCCCCTCTCACCGGGGGTGAGGTCCCGCCCAGCGCTCTCTGGAGAGCCCGCGCCACAGCCGCAGCCTCTTCCCCACTCTCTGGGCAGTGATCACGCACCCAGGCCTGGAGTTCGTCGGGTAGGATGGTCAGGAACTGCTCCAGCACCAGCAGTTCCAGGATCTGCTCCTTTGAGCGCATCTCAGGCCTAAGCCACCGACGACAGAGTTCCCTGAGCCGACTCAGCGCCTCTTCGGGTCCATCAACCTCCTGGTAACGCAACTGCCTAAACTGCTGTCGAGAAGTTTCAGAGTCCTGCCAGGCCCCGGGCGGGTAGGACTCCTGACCTCCGAGTGAGTCCTCCTCCACCTTCACTATGAAAAGCCCCTCAGGTAGGGGCTGCGCGACGACCCTGGATCTCGCGGCCGTCCGCGCCTTTGGGCAGACAAGCTCCAACCCATCTTCTTCCGGCACTTGCTGACTTTCCCAGAGTCTTGCCTTCAGATGAGAAGACAGCAAACCCAAGGAATTCATGGGCCCTCCTCAAAGCGAGGGCTTACGGCGGTCGTGTCCCACACACCCGACTCCACGCAGCCCGCCGCCCACTAGGCACTGGCCTAGCACCGGGGATACCCCGGCATCCTCTAGGTCCTTTGATAGAAAAAAAAACAAAACCCAGCCTACGCAGGAAGTGCGTCACCGATCCCTTCGGTGCCCGCCCCAGCATTTCCGGGGCTCTCCAGGCGGCCCGGAGGACTGAGATGCATCTCGGTGGTTTACCGTCCTTCTCACTCCCGTCATCCCGAGGCGGCGACTCCTGTACTGATTTCTGCAGCTGGAGAAAATAACTGGTTTAGGAGCAGTTGATAGAGCAAGTGAAAGACCCTAGCCCAGTTAGCCCAGTTACCTAAGGCCAAGATATAAAATCAAGATACCGGGCATGCTATAAACAGGCTCAGGCGCCGGATGTGCTTTCCACATAACCGGTTGAGAAAGGACAGAGCACCCGCATCCTGAGGCATGCATGAATAAACAGGAACAGATAAGCAGAAACAGAAAGAATAGAATGCAGACCTGTGGTTTTTGGAATGCAGACCTGTACTTCCTAGGTGGCCTATATGCTAGATTTAAAGAAACCAATGAGAAACCTGTTGCTTCCCACTGCGCGAAACCTGCCCTAAACCCTATAAAAATCTCTGTATCCCCAAGCCCGGTGTGCCAGTTCACCAAAGCTCCGGCTGAGGTTCTGCTGGGCACCCGCAGGCGCCTGTGTCCCAATAAACCTCTTGCTTTTGCAGCCAGTGTTTCGTGTGATTCTCCTTGGACAGAGATGGGGGGGGGGGGTCTTTCATTGGACGGGGGTTCTTTCACAGGAACTGTCAGAGTTGAGAGAAAACAAAAAAGAACTTTAACTGCTTCTGTGTACGTCACATGTTATGGCCTTTGATTCTCTCAAAGATGAGGAAACTGGCTGGAAGAAGTCGTGTCTTGCCTGATAATCAACAGACTTGTGGCTCGATGAATGAGACCAACATGCCCATTTCAAACTCCAGAACTGAGCACTTTCCACTGATACATGTTCAGTTATTGTAATTTTTCTCCCCCCAAAGCGATTTCTTCGCCCAAGGTATTTGGTTCATTTATTCATTCATCTATTCAAGAAACCTATCCAAGGACTGAAAATGTAGCTCAGTGGCAGGGCGTTTGCCTAGCATGTGCAAGGCCCTGGGTTCAATCCCCTGGACCAGTGGGTAGTGGCGAGTTGACTGCTGTGCTTCTGCTCTCCGGAAAGTGACAAGTTGACCTGGCCTGTTATTATTGGTACATGTCACTGCACCTCCTAACAGTACAGGGCACACTGTGGCCTTTCAGTCACCAAGTGCCCAGTAAATATTTCTTGAGCATCTAAGACCTTTGAAGCTCTAGCAGAGTAACAGAACTCCTCCCTCCTTCAGGGTGCTGAATGAAGTGAGAGCAGGGGATGGAATAGGGGGTGATGGGGATGTCTTAACAATTCCTACAAACTGGGTGGTTTAAGAAATTTATCATCTCAGTTCGGGAATCTAGAAGTGTGATATCAAGTTGTTGGCAGAGTGTTTCCTTCCAAGGGCTGAGAGGAAGAATCTGCTCTTAGTTCACCCCAGCTTCTAGTGGTTGGTGTCACTCTTCCGTGTTCTTTGGCTAAATGCAAAAGCATCATCCCACTCTGACTCCATCTTCACATGTCGTTCTACCTGCAGGCATGGTCTGTCTCCAAATTTCCCTTTTTTATAAGACAACAGTAATAACCAATTAGGACCCCACCCTAATGACCTCATTTTCAACTTGGTAAAGACCCTATCTCCAAATATGGTCATCTTCTTAGTTACTGTGAGTTAAGACTCCAACATGTGAATTTTGGGGGACACAATTCAATCCATAAGAATATGCCCTGTATAGGTCTGTTATCTAAATTTCTGAGAAGGCTCCAGGTTCAAAAGGAGCAAATGTGAGATGATAATCTAGGGTAAAATAAGAAAGAATTTAGAACAGTCAGCAATTTGCCCTCCTATCCCAGAGAATGATCACTGGAAAACTCCCCAGACTTCCTCATTTCTATGTCATGGAGCCTTTGTGTACTGCTATTTATATGATTCATGATGACCCCAACACTTATCAAGTGCTTATTATGTGCTAAGAAGTTTGAAGAGCTGTATCTCAATCCTCACAACGAAACACTCTGGGAGTGCAGTTAACTGAGAACCAGAGGAAAAATAATTTACTCAAAGTTTTCAGTTACTAAGTGGCAGAACTGGTATTAGAACAGGATAGCAATACCTAATGCTCTAGTCTTTTCTTCCATTATTTTTACTTTTCTTTAAAATATCTTTTAGTTGTTGATGGATCTTTTATTTTATTTATATGTGGTGCTGAGAATCAAACCAAATACCTCACACATGCTAACCAAGCACTCAATCACTGAGCCACAATCCTAACCCTTACTTTTCCTTTTTCCTATTTATATTGATTTGAACTTTTTACACCAAATCTTTACCTTAGGGGCAACTTGTAGATTTATTTTCTTCAACTGTCAGTAACTTAGTACAGTAAACCTTGGGCTAGAACTGAGACAACTTGGATCTTCTTTGGCCAAAAGGTCCAGATATGGTTTTGGAAAAGTCCTCTAAGGATTATAAGCCTTATTGTTCTAATATCTAAAACAAGTATGGAACAGGATTACAATTATTGAAAATAATGTTTGATTTTGGAGGATCATACAAAAGAGTGTCTCAAAATGAAAAATTAAAAGGGTTGCGGATGTGGCTCACTGGTTAAGCAACCCCTGGGTTCAATCCCCGGTACAAAAATAAATAAATAAACAAACAAACAAACAATGACTTGAATTTTGGCTCATGCAAATCCATTCCCTACTTTAAGAAATAAATGACATTTTAAAAATGTAAAGGTCAGCAGAGCACGGTGGCACACTCCTGCAATCCCAGCCGGGCTGGAGAATCACGAGTTCAAGGCCAACCTCACCAAAAGCCAGGTGCTAAGCAAGTCAATGAGACCCTGTCTATAAATAAAATGCAAAATAGGGCTGGAGATATGGCTCAGTGGCGGAATGCTCCTGCCCCCGCCCCGCAAAAAGGGGAGAACATTTCGAAGCCACTCAAATTGAGGTAGGTTTCTCGGAAAAAATGGATATCCATCTTAGACAAATTTTACATACATTAAGTCAACTGAATAAAAGCACCAAAATTAAGCCCCAGCTGCAAAATCCTACACCACACTCCTTCGTAGATTCTATTTTTATTTTTAAATGTCAACTTACACGCAAAATACATTGCGGACTTTCACCAGGGTCTTGGTCTTAAATAGGAAGCAATCTATCACGCATGAGATTTTGAGTGGTCTGGAAAGTGTCCTTTAACTTCTAAATATCCTCTCCATCTGTTGGCAGAAGCTGCAGTTCCAGAGCCGTTTGAGCCCCAAAGAGTGGCGATAAGTGAATCTGTCGTGTCTGTCCGACAGCTTTGAAAACGGGCACTTAAAAGTGAGAGATTATTAAATCTCCTGAGCTCGAGCTAGGGAACTCCTGAGTAAACAATGGCCTTTGCAAGTTTTGCTCTCCCGACCCCTAAGGCCAATCGGCACCCGGCAGCCCCACTAGTCTTCCAGACAGGCGCCAGCGGACACGCCACCCGCCCTACTGCTTTCTGATAGGCCCGCGAGAACGAGGCTAGAAGTCGAGTCGTGGCCCTATTGGTTAGCTGGTGTAGCCCGCGCGAGGCTTCCTGGGAGATGTAGTCCCAAGAGCCTTTCGCGCTGGCGAATTGCGGGTGTGACGTTGGAGACTTCGGCCCAGTGAGCCGACTGTGGCAGTAAAGAGGTGGGTGTGTTTGGAAAGAGAAGGATGAGAATTTGGGTGAATAAAACCTAAAGTGCTCAAAGTATAAGATGTCCGAGGCTTACGGACTCGCAGAAAGATAGATACGGATCTACTTCGAATTGGGGCGCAGAGCGTTGGGGGTGGGGAGGCGCCAGGACCGCGGCCAATCAGGCGCCGGCAACTGTTGCCTAACCCTTGATGCCCCGCCTCTTGTCCTCACTCCAAGAAAGGGGGAGGAGCTCGGCTGTTTCTTGGCTGTGCTGTGGGGTTGGGAAGAGGGTGATTAGGTTTCCTTGCTGACTCTGGTAACTTTGTATTTGCACCCCTGAGGCCTAGGGAGGTCCAGGTTGTGGGCGGTGGGCTGGGGGTCCGGCCGCGCCCTATCTCGGTGTCGATTGGTTATGTCTCCCTCTGGGGCGGGGCCAGGGGCGGCACCCCCCCACCCCACCCGCTGCGAGGCGAGGACCTCCGGGATTCCTAGAGAGGCCTCGGAAGTGCTCTCGTGGGTGGGATTTATGGCTTAAGCTTGGACTTGCTTACTTCCGGTGAGGAAGTGTCAGCATCAGTGTTCTCCTGTTTTGTACGATTCCCGGTCTTCCAAATCTTGGCTGCAGGGAGAATGATCTTCCTGGAGAGCTAATTGGGACTGGCGACTTGAGGGGAGGGAGTAGGGCTTTTGTATTCGGACGGGGGATCTGTCCCTAACCTTGACCGGGCTGTCTCTGTGTCGTGGGGTCAGGAGCGTTTCAGAGGAATTTAGGTCCAAATCTTTACCTTATACCATATCTCTTCTGGACCAATGAAGTCTTCAGTTGTCTGTCAAGCTCTTGTGGCTTGATGGACAGAACCAGTTATGAACATTTTAATGTTTTTCACCCCCATTCTGACTTAAGTTTGATTTAAGGTTGAGAGAAGGAAGGGCTCCATCTGTAATAGTAAGTTTTGTCTCATTATTTATAGGAACTGTCAAGTATTTTTGCCTCTAAAATTGTGTCTTAGATTGAGACTGATGTGAAATTTTAATGAGTATTCATTACTTTTTTTAAATCTTGGAGGTAATCTCTTGATAATCTTCTGGAGATGGAGTGGCGGCTGCCTTGCAGTCCATATTTTTAAGTAAATTACTTCGTTGAGGGGTCATCTTTAGTTTTTGTATAGAACGTCTTTGCCGTCTCTCTTTGCTAATAATGATTCCCGATATATATCAGTAGGTTGCACACTACTGAAAGTGCTCTTCAGAAGACAAATTGGGTCAGAGTAACACAGCCAGCCTCGAGAGAATTCCCTCTGAGTTGGAATGATAATGACAGAATCCCGGGAAGTTATAGACTTAGATCCTCCAGCTGAGACTTCACCGGAACAGGAAGACCTTCTAATAGTGAAGGTGGAAGAAGAAGACTGCACCTGGATGCAGGAGTACAATCCGCCACCGTTTGAGACTTTTTACCAGCGGTTCAGGCATTTCCAGTACCATGAGGCATCAGGTCCACGCGAGGCTCTCAGTCAACTCCGGGTACTCTGCTGTGAATGGCTGAGGCCCGAGTTGCACACCAAGGAGCAGATCCTGGAGCTGTTGGTGCTGGAGCAGTTCCTGACCATCTTGCCAGAAGAGTTCCAGGCCTGGGTGAGAGAACATCATCCTGAAAGTGGCGAAGAGGCTGTGGCTGTGATAGAAAGTATACAGAGAGAGCTTGAGGAACGCAGGCAACAGGTGAGTGGAAGAAGAGGCAGGAACAGTGAGGAAGAAGAGGAAAGAGTTAAGGAACTGCTAAGCAGGGGTGAGATTTTTAGCCCTGTGGTGCTTCATTCATATTCTTTTGTTCTCCTGGGATTAGGTACACTGTGGAGATTTCCTGCCACTCCAGCAAAGAGAAGCAATATCCAGTGTGTTAACCTGTAGAAGACAATCAGCGATTTTTATTTATTTTTAAGATTGTATTTATTTTTTGAGTGACATGATACAAAATCCAAAAAGGTACATAAGGTTATAATGAAAAGTAAGTTTTCCTCCCACCCCTAATTTCCCAACTGCCTAGTTCTCCTCTCCAGAGGCAGCCATTGTTACATGAAACTTGTATATCCTTACAGAGATATACCATATTCATTAATATTTTGGCATATATGATATAATGTGCTTTAAAAACACACACAAATGTTAAGTCTATACACTTCTTCCTCTTTCTTTTTTCCTATATCTTAATTTGTGCAAATACATCTGCCTTACTCTTTTTATATTCCATTGTATGGATGTATCATAATTTATTTAACTCCTGTTTAAGGAGTTTAAGTTGTTCCATTTAAGTTGTTCCTTTAGATTAATTTTTAATGTTTACTATGACAAACTTTTCTGAAATGAGTATCCTATATATTTTATTATACATATTATATATGTCAATTATAGGATGGATACTTTGAAGTCAAATTTTTGACTTGGTGGTATGTTTGAAATTTGGATAGCTGTTGCAGAGTGCCCCTCATAAAGGTTATACCAATTTATATTCCCACCAGCCATGTATGAGTTTTTTTTTTAAGGGTTAATCATACATCATAATCGCTTTTTGTTTTTGCAAATTATCTGTTTATGTTTCTTACATGTTCCTTACTTGTTAGAAATACTAAGCATTGTGTCTATCATATGATTTCCACATATTATCTTTCCACTTTGTTATTTGTCTTTGCTTGAGGAGATTTAAGATTTTTATGCAGTCAGAATAAGTCTATTTTATGGTTTCTGGGTTTCATGTCATACTTAAAAAGATGTTCTTCACTACAATATTATGAAAACATTTTCTTTTCCACTTTTTTTTATGCTTTTAAATGATTATTTCATCTTGAATTTATTTTTGTGTACGTTGTATGGCATGGTTGCAGCTTAATTTTTTCCTAGATAAGTTTTTCCCACCAACTTATAATCTTTTTTTTTTTTTTTTTGGTACTGGAAATTGAACCAGGGACGCTGTGCCACTGAGCTACATCCCCAGTCCTTTTCACTTTTTGAGACAGGGTCTCACTAAGTTTTTTGAGACTGGCCTCAAAACTCGTGATCCTCCTGTCCTCAGTCTCCCAAGAATTATAGGCATGCACCGCTGCATCTTTCTTATAGTAATCCTTTTTTTTCTTAACTAACTAAAATGCCACCTTTATCACACATCAAATTTCTGCTTGTGTTTAGGGTCCTTTTCAGGTCTTTCAATCATTTTTTTAATGATCTTGGCTGTTCATGTTTTGATATTTTAATTATTTGAGTTCTGTATAAAATGCTCGGCTTTGATAGGACTACTCTTATCCCTCCACTTTTTTTTTTCAATGTTTTCTTTTCCCCTTATGGACTTAAGAATTACTTACTTAGTTTCCACCAAACCCCAAAACCTGTTGGTATTATTGTTGGTGTTCCATTATATCATGGTTAATTCAAGGAGAACTGATTATTTTATCTTCTTTTCCTTTCCTAATTTATAAACTAACTCCATTCCTTTATCTTGCTGCTAGCCTCATGATCTAAACTTTAATTTTTGTTTTTTGTTTTCCATAGCAAACAAACAAAAATCTTAATCTTGGGGTCATGTTTATAAGAGTTGAAAGCTAGCTAAAGAATTTCCTTCATTCCTTAGAGCCACTGCAATTAAGCATAAGGTACTAGTTCATTGTTCCTAACCTCTGGGTAAGGGATACTTAAGAGTTCCAGAATATCTTTGGGCTTATGGATTAGTTTAACTCCCTCTGTGATTCAGGTAACAGCAGAAGGATGACTGCAGCCAGACCCTGCAGCTGTCCTGCAAGATTAACCTTCAGCTGGGAACGTTTAGACCTTTCTGTTGCTTAGTCTCGACATGAAGTAAAGGTTCATGGTGACATTCAGTTATTCTTTTTCTGAATCTAACTTGGAACACTAATGGACAACTTCCATTAGTGTGTTTTGCAGAAATAGATATTGAAAAGTACAATTTAAAAGGATTTTTTAAAAATAGAGAATTTATAGCACATATTGCATGTTTACCCTTCTCGTTGTGATATGTGCAGCTTATCTTTGGAAGGGACACAGAGAAAATCTGTTCTTAGTGGTAGTCAGTACTTTCAGGTCCATAGATGAAATTTTCCCAAGGACCTCCAGAGCTCACTTTGCCTTTCCCTTTACCTGCCTTGTTGTATCCCAACTTTGTTCCTCAGCTTCATTTCTTACTCCATCCTTTCTCCTTTGGGTTCCTTTCTCCTGTTCTCAGTGGATCTCAAGGGCTACTTTGGTTCTTTGGAGCTCAGATGCCCATTGACATACTTGGAACCATCTAAACTTTTGTTCTGAGTGGACTCACAGGAATGCACAAACTTTCAGAGTGGGTATTTGCCATAGGTATGTTGCAGCTACCTCTTAATGTAAAACCCATGACATATTTGCTGGGAGGGTTAAAATTTAAAGTGCTCTGAAACCTAAGGAAGGGGAAAAGGGAGATAGCAATTCAATTTTAGTTCAAGATCCTATTACCTTCCAGTATACTGGGACTGAGCTGGTATTTTTCAGAACAGGTAGATTCTAGAGAATGGTTGTGGCAGAGTAATTGTGTATACCCTAGGATTGAGCAAGGGCCAAGAGCAGAAAGGTGGAGGCCTGTAGTACACTGGATAGGAACTAGCTTTAAGTCTTAGTGTTGGTCTGTCCAAGTAAGATTTCCTGTGTCCTATAATGGATCTTTCCAACTTCCTTTCTCATCTCTCCCCTTCACTAACCTTTTACCCACACTGGACTCCTTATGGTTTCTGGATTGTACCAAAGATCCTCTTTCTGCCTGAGGTGTTTGCTAGTCTTCTGACTGCCTGGGTCATTTCTCTGTGCTTTTCCCTGGATGCCTTCTTCTCATCCTTGAGATGTTTCCTCAGAAAAACCTTCCCTGGCCTCCCAGTCTCATCTGTTGTGTCTCATAGCACCATGTTTCTCCCCTTGTGTGACATATACACAACTAGTAATTAACTATTTGTGTGTTGACATATTCCTTGAAAGTTTTCTACAAGTAAACTGTGTTATACCATTGTATAATTAATGTCCGACTCACTGTGGATACACTTTAAATACTTGGTAAGGGAACAAATGAAAATCCAATGGAATTTTATTGTGTTTGTTCACATGTAACTGTGCTGATTGGTTGTGGTTGTTAGATTGTTGCATGTCCTGAAGTGCTTCCTCAGAAGATGGTCCCACCTGGAGCAGTGCAGGAGTCCTTCAATTCCCAGTTCCTGGCCATGGACACACAGCCTGAACAGGAGCCACAGAAGCCTCATATTCTGGAGGAAAATGGTGAGGCTCAGAAGTTCAGTGGAACAGACATGGCTGGAGCTTGGGTACCCTGGCCACATGGGCAGGTGGCATTGTAAAAGACTAGAGGTTGGATAGCTTCTCTGCAACCAGCAGGGTCTGAGGTTGGGAAGGTCTGGAAACCTGGGGTGGGCTGGTATTGAGAAAGCACAGCTTCTTGGATAGCTGGGACTGTAGCACTTCTGTTCAGAAACAATAATGGGGCTTGAGAGTGTGGCTCAGTAGTAGAGCCTGTGCTTAGCATGTTTGAGGCTCTGAGTTCAGTTCCTAGCTCCCGCCCCCAAAAAATCCCCCAAAAAGGAGTTATCGCAAAAGCTATAACACATATTATTATAATGCAGATGATAAGTAAGTACAGGTACTGTTCAAAGATCTACTAAGTTTGTTAAAAAAGTACCATCATCTTGCTGCAGTTTTTTACTTCTGCTTCATAGATTTTGTTGTCATATGCTTATGAAAAGGCTTTGCAGTTCCCAATTATGTTCATTTTTGTCTGCAAATTTGCTTGGAAATCTTATTTGAAGCAGCTTTCTCAAAAACCTTTAGAACATTTGTTTTCCTCTTCCCTTCTTCTCTCTCCCATCTCAATTTTATCGACTTGCATTAGATATTTCAAGGAAGAAAAATGAACAGATGAGTGTCATTTTTTTTATAATTAAAAAATTTTTTTTAGTTGTGGATGGATACAAAATATTTATTTATTTTTATGTGGTGCTGAGGATCAAACCCAGTGCCTCACACATGCGATGCAGTGCCCTACCACTGAGCTACAGCCCCAGGCCCTGATTGTCATATTTATTATGATATTTGTCCACAAATCCATATTCCCTAATCAGAAACCCTTGCTGTGAAATATATTTTAGGATTCAGAATTTTTCAGATTTGGCAAGGTAATATGATTTATATCATATGTTACACTATCAGCAGGATTAATATTTTTGCAGTGAAATGTGTGCATGTTTACATTAAGTTGATTAAATAGACTTGAAATAGCTTCACATCAGGTCAGGTTTTGCTGTCAAATTAATTTGATGCCTACCTTATTGAAAAAACATTCCTTTGGAGGTGGGCATGATGGAGCATGTTTGTAGTCCCAGCTACTTTGGGAGGCTGAAGCAGGAGGATCCTTGAACTCATGATTCAAGATGAGCCTGGACAACATAGCAAGATCCCGTCAGAGAAAAATAACAAAACAATCCTTTGGTATTTAGAGTTGTATTTCCGAGTTGTGAATAAGGGATTGTGTTTTCTCTGTTTGACCTTAGACTTTCTTCTGTGCTCCTACAGGTGGTCAGGTATTTCCTTTGACATACCTCACCGCCCTAATCTCTTCCAGCTTTAATTCCATGCTGGTTAAACTGCAGCAGCAGCAGCAATAGCTCTTCCTTATGTAGTGTGTACATTGTGTAGAAACTGTTCTAAGTATTTTTCACCTTTTGGACTTCATTTAGCCTTCAGAGGCTCAGGAAAAATGGTCCTATTTGGGGTCAATACCTTTTTGGTTTTTATATTTTAAGTCATTTCATGAATCTTACATAAAATGCAAAAGATAGCAAGAAATAATCTTTTAGAAATTTTATTGAATCAGTATCAAGTACATTTTGACATAAAAATCTTATAAAAGATGAAAGAATACTATCACACAATACTGTCCTTTTAGCAAAATGGGATGGTCCAAGATCTTGTTGCAAAATACCACATGGTAGGGCTGGGGCTGTAGCTCAGTGGCAGAGCATTTGCCTAGCACTTATGAGGCACTGGGTTCTATCTTTAGCACCACATAAAAATAAACAAATAAAATAGAAAGGCATGTTGTCCATCTACAACTGCAAAAAAAGAAAAAAAAAAGAAAGAAAAAGACATGGTGGTGTCCTTCCTTTTGAAAGGTTTGCTAGATGAAAATGCTATAGTTCCTTTTTGAAATTAGAAATACATTTATCATTGATTTTTTTTAAGTTGTTGGTAGACTTTTATTTTTTTGGTAGACCTTAATTCATTCATTAATTAATTTACCAGCCCCTGAATTGCTTAATAATAGTGACTATCTTTTGCAAATTTCTTCTCTTTGCTGATATGGGCAGCAAATGAAAAATTCGGAATTTTCAACTGTGTCAAATGAAACTATGGATATCAACAGTCTTCTTTTCTACCTTCTTGAAGAATGATGCAACATGTAATATTTTGAGAAAAATGAAGAATGATTTATTTTGCTATTGTGATCCAAAATATTTTCTTTATTTTTTCCATTCTCATTATTTCAGTCTTATGTGGCATTGTTGAGAATAATTAGTAATGATCAGTAACAATGAGTTAATTCTTAGGATGATAAAATGAAACAGTATTTGAAGGTATAACAAAACTAAGATCACACAGATTCTAAACTGTATCTTAGGTTTGCACAAGTATCCAGTGGATCTCTAAAGAGTTTTATCCTAGTTAAAGAAAATAAATTTCCTTTTGTACTTCAGAAGACTTAAAAATAATAAATATAGACCTGTAGAGAGGTGCACCATGTAATTGCAGCCATTTGAGGGGCTGAGGCGGGAGGATCACAGGTTTCAGGTTACCCTAGGTACCTTAGCAAGACCCCATCTCAAAATGAAAAATAGAAAGGACTGGTGATGTATAGCTCAGTGGTAAAAGTGCCCTTGGGTTCAATCTCCAATATTTCACACACACAACACACACAAAGGTAAAAATTTTCGAAGGCAAGAATTGTTTTTCCACTTATTTCTATAACACAGAATAGACCACATGCATACTTCCTGACTGAATATAAACTAACTGTGGATATTCCTTGAGGGGAGAGATGAACTGAAGCCTTGCTAATCCAAGTGTAGTCCAAGAGACAGCAGCACTGGCATCACATGGGAGCTTGTTAGAAATGCAAAATCTCAGGCCCCACCCAGGACTCTAGAGTTAGAATTTGCCATGTATTGGGGTCCCTGTGAAGCCCTGGACACTAGGAAATGCTGTGGGCATGGAAGATGTGGAACTCTGATTATTCTTGGAGATCAATAGGGTCTACCTAAGCAGAGTGGAAAACATCCTTTACAGGGGAATGGCCAGCAGGGATTACCCTGATCAGAGCAAGAAGTCTGTTTTGAGGGGAAAGGAGGAAAAAGAAGGTAAATGTGAATGGGCCCGGAATGTAGAGGGTCTTGAGAGCAAAGCAGAAGAATTTGGCCTGGAGTGGCAGGGGTCATTGTAGATTCATGAGCAAAGGAGGCACATGATGGCTTTGAGAAGGAAACAGAGATTCTCACTTACACCTTTTTCTCCTCCTTCAGCCCTTCCTGTTCTCCAAGTTCCTTCCCTTCCCCTGAAGGACAGCCAGGAGCTGACAGCCTCACTTCTCTCAGCTGGGTCCCAGGTGAGCTGGAGCCCCCTCTCCCTCTGTGAGGACCCATATCTCTTCTCTAAAGACTAGTCACCTTGTTCCCAAATCTTTATCAGGAGGTTTGTTTCTTTAATCAGCAACCAGACCCATCTGGGGTTGGTATCTTCATTCCCTTTATCTTTTTCTTTCTTCCCAGTACTTTCCAATCCTTTCTGAAGCAGAATCCCTCCCCTGACTTCTTTCCTTAATGCTCCCAGTTTTTCCCCTCACTCCAGATTTGAACATAGGGACTGGGAATTTAGCAGAGATCTCCTGTTTCAGAAGTTGGTGAAAATTGAAGACGTGGCTGATGTGGCTGTGTCCTTCATCCTGGAGGAATGGGAACATTTGGACCAGTCCCAGAAGTCTCTTTATAGGGAAGGCAGGAAGGAGAATTATGGGAGTATTACTTCTATGGGTAAGACTTATTTCTACCTGCATGGATTAGGAAATTTGAATTTTGTTGTCTTGTAAAGAATATTTCTAGCACGTCCTATAAAAGCATATGTGGCCGGTTGTAGTGGCATAAGCCTGTAATCCCAGCTACTTGGGAGGCTGAGGCAGGAGAACCTCAAGTTTGAGGCCAGCCTGGACAACTTATTGAGATCTTGCCTCAAGATCTATTTTTAAGGGGCTGGGGATGTGGCTCAAGCGGTAGCGCGCTCGCCTAGCATGCATGCGGCCCGGGTTCGATCCTCAGCAGCACCACATACCAACAAAGATGTTGTGTCCGCCAAGAACTAAGAAAAAATAAATAAATGTTAAAATTCTCTCTC